CTAGGTTGTGCATTTATTTTACATATAATGAAAATGAGCGGATAAGCTGGCTAGGAGTGAAATCAGAATTTAGATTGGCTCTTTATAAGGCGACATTTCCTAAAAAGACTTTTTTCCTCCTATTCCGGGCATTACAGAGATTTTAAATCTTTGTCGACTTTTGAAAGCACGGCTCCTGAAGGACAAAGGATGATATATTCTTAGTGCCTGTGTAAAGTATAGTAGTTTTAAAGACAATAAACGCAAGGTCATATTAGGGCAAAACAGTTAATTACCCACTTCATTATTGTCAAGGTTAATACAGTATTTGAGCGCAGAAGCTGTTCTTCATCTGCTCTTGGATACAAGGCAAGACAGCGGTTCTTGCAAACAGATCCATTATAGCTTATCGCTGCAGGACAGACCGCTCCAGCAGCACCATGAAGGATGTCTTCTGTCAGCGGTATCCAGAGCAAACGCCAGACCTGTCTGGAGAGCAATGGAAATGAAATGAGAGCTACAGCTTCGGAGTAGCGCGCTTTAATTCACAGAGATTGCATCCCATTGATTTTAATGTATGACGCTAATAGTAGCATAAAATTCTCCAGCACTCTCTCATCTGTTTTAACATTGATCCATCCTAAATTACGCAGCGCTTTGAAAAGTATCCTTTAATGAACACAGGGTATTGACTGTAACAAATCCCACCTTTCTGTGGTAGAATCCGGTTAAGGCTGCACCTGCTAGTAGAGTTTGATTTCTGTTCTTCATGCATGCCTGGGCACTGTACAGGTTTCCATTACATGATCTCAATAGACACGAACAAAGATCTCATAAATCTTAGCGGATCAACCTTTGCGAATATCGCATTGCTTGTAACTGGCTGCATTGCCTGCAGCAACTTTGGAATTCCTTGTTTGTGTGCAAACAGAAGTTGTCTCTTTCAGCTTATAAAGCCTTTCAAAAATGAATAGTTAATTGCCTGGTATTACCAGGCAAACTGTGTTTGTGTCCCTTTTTTTTTTTTTGGTTGGGTTTTCTTTCAGGGTTTTCATTTTGCTTTTTAAGCTGTTTTGTGTGTGTGTGTTTTTGTTTGGTTTGTTAGGTTTTTTTGCTTTTTAAGAAGTAAATTTTTCCGTCTTTTGTTGCTCCTGCTGTTGTGTTTCGGTCTCAAGAAGCCTTTTCCTGCGCACACGGCCTGGCACTGCAGTAACCGTGCTGAGTTCCCCAACTGAGAATGCCACGTCAGCATTTGGGTTTTCCCCAGTACTCCCACATGTCTTTGTACCTGGCTACTTCTGGTTAACACTAGGCTTCAGTTGGGAAATTTGGGCCATAGTTAGGGCAGTTTTCAGTCTGACTTATTTCTGCAAATCCTGCAGTTCATAGGAAAACTGCAGGGTGCTGGTGAGCCCCAGTGTATATATCCTCTGACTTCAGAAGGAGTTAACTTTGCCTAATGTAAGCGTTGTTCTCTAGAAATAGCACCTCTCACTTGGTCATTTTTGATGCTCTGTGGGCATCTTTACAGAGCAGTTTATTATTTTTATAGAATAATGCCTGCTTTGGGATTTTAATTGTTTTTTTAAGTCTACTAAATTATGAAGAATTAACTGTGCCCACCAGGGAGGCACTGTGTGTAGGCATCACAAGTTCTATTTGATAGCAGTAGTGCTAGAATTTTTCTTAAAAAAATAAAAATAGAAGTCAAGCTCTAATAGGCTGTCTGATTAAGCAGTAGGGGCATGTCAACAAGATGTATTTTCTTTCATGTAAGGGCAATACTAAATTTAAAAACAAACCAAAGCAAATAGACATATTGACAACGATGGCATAAGAACAGTAACTATAATGTAATAATAATATCACTGGCTATTCCGTAAAAATGCATCGCCTTAATATCATACTTTCTCCTTTTTTGTTTCTTCACAACAAATGACTTTCACATCTTAGTTTGCTGTGGTAATGACAGCGGTGTGGCTTTGATACCAGCAGTGGCAGTGCTTCACTGACATGGTTGCAGATTTCAGCCAGTACTGCCAAGGCATTTTAATCTAGACTTGCTGTGTTCCTCTTGGATAGGTAAATTTTATCCTCCCTTCGCACTGAAGGACTGTGCTTGTATGATGAAACAGTGCCAAGAATTGTCATCAGCTAATGCAATTAAAAATCTGTGCTATTCGGCTGCTCAAGCCCCTCACCTGGGCAAGGGAGCATCCTTCTACACCAGTCCCAGGCACAGTCAGCACCAGGCAGACTTTTCCCCAAGTCACAGATGTTGCTTTCAGGCTGAGAGCATTCGGCCATGCAGAGCCATGCCAGCACGCGTAAACCCACTCAGCCTGAGGGGTTGATTCCAGCACTTCTCATTTACTGGTAGAGAAGAGCCCAAAGCAAAGAGAATTCCAGCCATCATTCTTGCAAGTCAGTGTTCCCCAGTAGTTGTCCACAGGCTGCTGGGAGAAAACAAGGGCTTTTGAGATCTTAGTCCCCTTCATTGATCAGGATTAGGTTGCTGTGAGGTCACAGGGGTAACCAAGGCTTCTTCACAGATGAGAGCTTCAGTGGCAAATGCCCATTTTGGTAAATCAGGATTTCCTACATGACAGTTTTACTAATACTAAGAAACCTGTTTGTTTGTTTGTAATCCTCACAATCAAAATGGTGGCTTCTGTCTGCAGAAAATCCCTAAACATTGAGTTTTTGTCATCGATGAATTCCAAAACACATAATCCTTTGGCTTCGTTCTTCTGGAATTTCCTTGCAACGCAGGCTGAGATGCCTGGTTGTGATTCTTCATCACCCATATCCCGTAACATTCTGCATTTAAAAAACCTGCTTTGAAAGAGCATCTATTTGGAGGAAAGGGAGGGAAACACCCCTTTCCTTTAACCAGAGAGGCCATTCTGCTCCCGGGGGTTCCCTCTGGCTCTGAGGTCCTTTTGTGCGGGCGCTATACAGGTTGCTCCAGGAAACCTCTGCTTTGTGCAGGCTGGTCCCACAGAGATCATTAAATTGGCCTTTTTACTCCTTGGCATGATTTTACACTGGGGAAGCAAGATGGCAGTTGGGTATTTCAATCCTGTTTTCAATTAAGAGCATTTCATTGTTGAGTGTGCTGTTTTATTATGTGATAATTAAATATGAATGATCATGCATTCATCCTGCCAAAGCGGCTGTAGCCTAACAAAACGAATTCCTTTCGCATTGCTGAATGCTTCAGAAGCAAAAGGAGTGATCTATTTGCTGATCCTGATTTTTTCTGTCCTATTGTTTCAGTATTGCCAGATTGAAAATAGCAAACCAGGCAAGTAATTACAGACATAAATAAGAGGAGGGATCAATCGGAGGTCAGGATTGCTTTGCCCTGCTTTTCTCAGCTGTCTTTTTCTGAATAACAGAGAAGTATGTTGCTGTCAATTTAGCAGTGATGGGGCAAAGCAGGAGTTGAAGAGGGATGAGGAAGAGGACCAGACTTTTCTTAAAAGAGAAATTGTGCCCTATCCTATCTTCTGATTGCATTGCAGACCTTTCCTAGACAAAAAATTAAGTCCAGGGTGCAATACAAAGGGCCGCATTGCTTGTGCTGCAGAGCCCTTCCCATCCCTGCTGCTGGTCATTGCATTTGGAGAAGCCACCTGCTTTGTATGGAAGCATTTGGCTTTAGACCCTATTGGTGCACCGTCTCCTTTTACAGATATTTCCATGTTTTATCATGTTGGTGCTGCTTCATCAGCCTTGGGTCAGGCTTACAGGGATGCATTTGTGATACAGCCGTGTCTGTGGTGCTGCAGTGGAGGAAGGGCCGGAGCCAGACTGGACACAGCATGGTGCACCATTATCAGTGTGCAGCACAGGCAAGCTGCTCGCAGAAGGACAGCTTGGGATGGCCACAGTGACTCCATTTAGAAACTGAGTTAAATAAGATACAACCTCAGATATTTAGCTGAAGTGAATCAGCAAAGGAAGTTTTGTTTCAATAGAGCCGTGCTGATTTATGGCCCCGGTCCTCAATCTGTACATCTTATTCTTGCAGGGCATTTATAAACATGACGCAGTGCTCAGTGGGAGTCAACTGCTGAATTGATGCAATAACTTGTTACAGTCTTCAGATGGTGCTAGCTAAAAATAGTCAGGTTATCTTGAAGGAGAGCTCTAACTAAGTACTGCTTGTTTCCATCCTAATGCTAGGACCATTGTTTGGGTTAGAGCTGAGTAAGGATGGGAAGGGGCAGAGGGTAGGAGCCAATCTGTGTCTGCAGTGCTTCTAAGCCCTCCTCATCCAGGACTGGGGGATCTAGGGGAGTTTCACTGTATCAGGACACAGATAGGGCCACTGCCACTTGGCATCCATCATATAGTTATCTCAAAGCCATGGTCATGCACAGGGATTTACCAGATACTACATATTGTAAGGAGGCAAAGGTAGGTATTATTTTTCATCTTCCCTGTGTGTGTCTCATGCTAAATTAATGAAGAGGCAGTTCCTGGTGGTAATTCTGGTACACAGTAGTGCACTGTTAAAAAAAACAACAACAACAAAAAAAACAACATGGGACTTGATAAATTACATGCTACTTTCCACTCCAGCAGTTTGCTAAAATAACATGGAGAAGTTGGCAGTGAATGATAGTATTACTTTTCTATACTCTGCAAACTAGGGTACCAGCTTGCCTTGAAGCAAACAAGTGAATAATAGCTAATTTAGTCACACCTAGTTTTTAAAACACAAGTAGTGCTCTTAAATGTCTCTGCTGTTCAATGCAGCACAGCCATATCTTAAGTTGAAGCTGTATGTTAAATCTCAGCTTATGGTGGACACTGCATTTGTTCATTTCTGCATGTTCTGTTGTACTTCTTGAGGGCTTTATTTTGCGGCAGCAGGTTATTGTGAGGTGTGTGCCTGAAGAATGTGATGCATCACCACGTGTATTCCTGGGTGAATCACAGACTTCAGTCATTCTGTTGGTCAGATACTAAGTGAAAGTCAGTATTTAATCAAAGCAATTTTTTATTTCCAGACTATTGTTAGAGGAAATAAGCCTCGGAAGGATACTTCAATCAACGGCTTGCTCGAAGAGTTTGACAATATCTCCGTGACTCGATCCAACTCCCTGCGGAAGGAAAGTCCTCCCACACACCACCAAGGCAATGCAAACCATGTGCCAAGGCACCAGGAGGAAAATGGGTACATCACATATTCGCAGTACTCCAGTGAGTCAGACACAACAGACTATGTCATGGACAAGTATAGAGACAAGACTCTCTATGGGGAAGAGCTAGACAGGTACTACAAAGGGGGCTACGCTGCCAAGCAGAATGGGCACATGATGAAGGTCACTTCCAGAGACATCTATTATTCAGAAATGACACCCCTAAAATCAGACCTCTCCAGGTTCCTCCCAGATTACCATGCACAAGTGGAGGCGAAGCCCAAACCACTCGAATATGGAGGTCTAAAGCTGGAGTACCAGAGGATTCCCAGTGGATCCTCACTGGACTACAGAGACCCCTTCCCTTACGCCCTATCCCGAGCGTCAGTGCAGAGCGAGTGCCCCAAGGAGAGGCTGGAGTACAGCGACGGCGACTGGGGGCACAGCCCAGCCAAGGATGACTATGACAAGAGGCCCAAGTCATCCTACGTGGACCCGGCGAGCCCTCAGCCAACCATGAGGCAGAGGTCCAGGTCGGGCTCTGGTCTGCAGGAGCCAGCCATGCCCTATGGAGCAAGTGCATTTAAAGCACACCAGCAGGGACACTCCTACAGCTCCTACACCTACCCTCGCTTGTCTGAAACTGCAGCAGGCATCTCCAAGGTAATGTTAAGGCCCTGGTGTTGGTACTGCTAGGACAGGGACCCTTCCAAAATGGGAATACAAAAAATTAGGCATGTGCAAAATGTTAAGGGTGTGGAGCTGTGCTTGGAAACACAGTGGTAGGAAGCGTGCGACAATGCTTTGGTGGATATAAAACCCCACCCAGTTCACTTGGGTAACTGAAAACAGATGCTGGGGATCAGAGGCTTAAGATACTTATTCAAAGAACATTTTGGAGATGCCCAACTTCCGTGAGTTTTACTTGGGATTTCTGAAAAACCCAAGTTCTTTAGCAGTTTACCTACGATTAGAAGTTTGTATGCTAATGCAGATGTTGGCAGAGCTGGAAAGTTGGTCTGCTTTGAACGTCAGGTTCTTTTTGTATTTGAGTCGTTGTTGCTGACATCTCTGTGCCACTTAGAAAAGCGTTTCTGGTTTGCTGAGGGAAGACAGCCATGATCCCAGCATGTCTATTAGGCAGAGGAGCTGCCTGCAGCTGAGCCAGCTCATACCAGCCCACACAGCCACCAGTCTGGCAAGTGTGTATGTGTACTGTGAGATTCATTAACCCTTTCCCACCAGTGAGGGAAGGGACTTATCCCTCACCCCTTCATTTTTCAAGCAGTGGAATGAAATCCAAGTGTCTCCTCACACAAAAATAAGGGTCAAGATAGAAAAGCAACTCCATTGTGATATCTACAAGCAGCTCCTCTGCAGAAACTGTGGTCTGCTCTGCCACTTCTAAGTTGCATGAAGAGTATTACCCACACAAGCTATCCTACCTTACCCTGCTTCCTTGCAGCCTTGATCAGCTAAGGGAATCTCTTATCCATCATGTCAAACTGCTCAAACAAAGACCTGCTTAAACACTTAATATTCTGCAAGAAATGGTTTTTCCTTTGGTGTATATTTCATTTAATGTTACTGGGTTCCCTTAGCAGCAGGCAGCAAGCTTGCTGTGATTTGCCAGAAGTGCTGAGCTTGGTAGTCATCACACAATGATAGCTCTTCTGCTTATGATGGTGTCTGAACAGTGCATTTTCTTACAGCCTCTATGCACTGAGAACTTGGTCCTGTCCAACTTCAGACCCTATGTCATCTCAAACCTCTGCAAATACAGCATGGCTTCAAACCAGAGGCATGCCTGCATTTTGCTTAGGTTTTGGCTACTTTGCTGATGCTGGGCTGCAATCACTGTCAGCATCCTGTGGCAAAAGGAGAGCAGTGTTTTGGTTTTTTTTTTTTAGGTGCTGATTGTGTTAAAGCATAGAGTTGGGCTTTTGAGTTTGAGTGTAAATACTGGGGGGGGGGGGGGGTAGAAAGGTTGCTAGGTTTCTTCCTGTGCCTTGTCTGAGTTTGGGGTTTGCTGGGAGGGATGCCTATATGTAGTTAACTGTGTGCAAGAGTGTGGTGCTAAAATACAGATTCTGGAATTTGTGAGGAAAGGTTGGGATGGACTACCTGCCATTTCTTTCTTTTAAAATAATCATTTTGTCAGAGTTGAGAAAGAGGAAGGACAAATCCAGCAGTAGCTCATAAAGTCTCCTGTGCCTGCCAGATTTATGGCATTCAATAAGATGGAGGGTGTAGGTGTATTTCACAGGACTCAGAGCACTGCAGACACTTTGTAAAATATCCCATTAAAATGCAGTAACAACTTTTATTAAAGAAAAAGATGCCTTAGTGCAAGATTCATTTTGAGCCATTGCTCTCCTTTGAGCATCAAAAGCCCTCATGTAGCCTTGGTATATTGAAATTTGATGATTCACTGTTAAATGCAGCAGTTTCAATTCCCAGACCCATCCGCAACTCCTGGAAGTGAATAGCAGCTTCGTGTCTTGGATGATTGCTAAGGAATCTTCTTTTCAAGGAGGCATTAGTAAGAAAATGGTTCATTAAATGGGTTTACTAAGTGAGAATCGAGTCTCAAATCAGATATTGTACAAATGAAATTGGCTTTAAAGTATAATTAAAAGGGGGGGAAAGAAAGCATTGAAAAAGTCCTCAGGCACAAATGTACATCTTCAAAATGCATTTAACAAAGATGTGCGTTTTGACTTGTAAATCTGAAGAGTAGGTGCAGATGTGTATTATTACAGATGTCAGATAAAGGAGACACATCCCTGTTCTGGCAGCAGGTTTCAGACGTGTTGTGTCAGACCTGGCTGCTGAGGTGGCCGTGTGCAGACCTGAGTAAGGCTGCAGCCAGATGAGCGGCAGCACACCGCATTGCACTGCAGGCTGTGACTTCAGCTGCTCCCCTGACCTGATCTTGAATGAGAGCAGGGCTGGTTTTTACTGTCCTTTGTAGTATTTACAGACTTGCCTTTCAGTATGTAATTGCATTCAATAACAGGAATCATGGCATTATTAGTGGAATCAAGTGTGCTCAATTTTGCCACACTGTGAAGAACTGTGTGAGGACATGGCTGAGGAGGAGAGGCTAGGCTGATGGAGTCACTTGGGCTCCTCTACTTCAGCAAGATTGCATGGGGTGCAGGAAGTGAATGGTTGTACCGCAGGAGCGTGAAACACAAACTGCAGAAAGCTTTCAGAAAAGGACGCTGAACATCTCAACTTTGCTTTTAAAATTTCACTGTGGAATTTGTTTTTCCGGACATGTGGGGCATGCTCAGAAAAGAGCAGGTGTGGGTGACGCCCAGTCGCAATCCATTGATGCGGATTTATCTAGTTTTAGTTTTAGACCGGGCTTTTCCCATCTTGATATAAAAATGGTGTATTTTCAGTCAAAGCAATCGTTTGTGTGGCTCTGTGTACACAGACATATAGGACAGGGCTGGACTGAGTGCCCCTCCCTCCACCAAACCATCTGAGCACTTTTCTGTGTTAATTAGTTGGGCAGATGTCACGTCCTTCATGAAACACACGATGTCTCTGACCCCCTTCTATCTCACAGCTGCGTAAGTGAAATCCTGACCGTAAGCATTTGTGTGTCACGCTCATACAGAAACAGCACCCGAGGAGGCGGCTGTGCAGCGCTGCCAGGGTTGAATGTGGGCACCGTGCATCTGGGAGCTCACGCAGCTGCCTGCAGCCGCACGCTGCCGATGGAAGTGCCTGCACAGCTCTCATGCAGAGGCATCCCTGTGCCCCACTAAGCAGCAGGACACCAGGCGGGCATGCCCGGCTCACACACGGCGCCCAGCAGCACCGATACAGCACTGCACTTCTTTATTCCGAGGCTTTTCTCCCCGCAGCCCAGTGACTCCAGCTAGAATCTCCTCCTGGCTGTGCAGCAGCCTACAGTGATAGATTGATGCTGCGGCAGATTTTTTTTTTTTTTTTGCAGTCTTCGCATAAAACGGTCAGATGATGTTCCAGCGCAGAATTCAATTTCACAGTTCAGTTGGGTCCTTGATTACACTGCCAAATTCAGATTAATGTGCATTTAACTAACATGGATCAGGGACTCCTGGCCAGCAGCCAGCAGCAATAGTAGCTGCCGTGAGCTGTGTCGGGGTTGTTGCGCTGTCCGTCCCTGTGGGCCGCCACGGAAATTGATTGATTAAATGAATTCATTGCCGTAATTATTTGTAATTGTGCTACATCATGAGCCTGTGTCTGACCACCCCCACCCGCAGTGCCCCACGTGTCGTCAGGAGTCACGTACGGAATATCATAAATGTGGAGATGTCCTTTTCTGGGAAAAGAAAATAATACTTTTGTTTCAGGTGCATTTTTTTGTCTTAGATCCTTTTCTGTTTTGCACAGATGGAGACAGTTTTGTTTATGAATGTAAAATATTTGCTGACTTTCAGTGTAAGTAGCTTAGAAAAGCTAGGGAAAATACAAGGGAAGGAAGGAACCTGCAGATGACAAAGGCCTCCCATTGGGATAATTTCCTCACGATTGTCTCCTGTTTGAAATGAAAATTAGCAGTTTTGCAACACTGCAGTTAAGTAGTGTGTCACTCTGGAAACCTTAAGTAATGGTATATCGAATTAGTATCCTCGTTTTAGTTTGCTTGGAGGAAGTCCCTTTGAAGATTCCACTGAGCAGCTCTCCTCTCACCTCAGGCAGGTTACATGCTCCCCTGGTTGTAGCTCTTTGTGATGTGTCCCCATGCTTTGAATTTGGTGCTCTTCTGCCATTTGTTTGTGGTCTGCAGTGCTCTCTCTGTGCTGCTACACTGCCATGGTCAGAGGGTGCTGCAGCCCTGCTTCCACTTGTGGGGATGGTGGGGAAGGCCTGGCTATTTTAAGCTATACAACACTGAACAGGATAAAAAAAGAAAAGATAAAAGGTCTGTGTTGTCTCTGCGGTGGCTCAGCCAGCAGCTGGTGATGGGGCACAGCAGAGGCTGTGGGAATTTCAGGGTACCACCACCTCCACAAGAAGAGGTCATTCCTGTATCACCAGAAAAAAGCAAAAGAAAGGACAAACGGGTGAGAGTCAAAAGTCAGAAATTTGTGTTTGGGAGGAAAGACATGAATTTGAATTTGTGAAAGGGCTTTTTGTTTTTAAAGAGATGCTTCACTGGAGGAAATGGCCCAGACAACCTGCAGGGCACTGCAAATACAGAGTAAATGCATTCCTTTGGACCATATACTTTTATTTAACAAAGATTACCATGTTTCCAAATGGGTGCGTGGACATAAAAAAGAACCTGGGATATACAAAAAACCAAGTGGTCTTTACTCATTTTAGTAGTGAGGAGAGAGCAGGCAGCCTAACGGTCTAAAAATCTGCAGGCAGCAGTGTCACTTACAGAACAGCGAGTCCATGCAGGAGTGAGCTGTGCTGGCACCCCACCGAGTGTATCTGGGGTGCAGAAAGTGAACTGAATGGTCAGGGGTTGGCCAGGCAGCTGGAAGCCCAGCTTTTCACTCATGTCCACTCCTCTGCTTTTGTGTTGCAGGTGGATTACGACCGAGCACAGCTGGTAGTTAGCCCACCACTCTCTGGATCGGACACCTACCCAAGGGGCCCAGTAAAGCTACCTCAAAGTCAAAGTAAAGTCAGCTATTCCAGCAGCAGCTACCAGTACCCTCTGGTCTACCACAAAGCATCCCACTACCACCAGCCATCACTCCAGCCAAGCTCTCCCTATATTTCCACCGCCTCCTACCCCAGCTCCCCAAGTATCACATCAAGTGCTTATCCCCCGCCCAGCTGGGGCTCTTCCTCAGACCAGCAGCCCTCCAGGGTGTCCCACGAACAGTTCAGGGCTGCCCTGCAGCTGGTCGTCAGCCCTGGTGATCCCCGGGAGTACTTGGACAGCTTCATCAAGATTGGGGAGGGCTCCACAGGGATAGTCTGCATTGCCACCGAGAAGCACACGGGAAAGCAAGTCGCTGTGAAGAAAATGGATCTCAGGAAACAGCAGAGGAGGGAGCTGCTGTTCAATGAGGTATGTTGCTGTGGGCAGTGCAGCATAAGACATGATCTGAACAGAGGCCACAATGCCAAACTAATGTCTTTCTAAAATAGAGGGCTGAGTCCTACACTTCATGGTGTCTGAAATAATCAGATCATTTTCAAGTGAGCTACATCTTCTCCCAGGTTTAAACCTATAATAACGTGGTGGGAAGTCACAGTAAACAAGTAAGAAATCTGTCATCTGATCCACGCAGCTTATCAGGTGCCTGGTTGCCTTCTTTGGACCATTTCTGGTATGGTTTAGTCTGCTGAGATGGAGGAGCCTAACTGACCCTAATACTGAAGAAGTACACAAACCATACTCTGGCATATCCCTCCCCACCTAATCACGTGTGATCCTTTTCCTTTCTTGATAGTTACTAAGCAAAGAGCTGCCAAACCCTTTTTCATAGGACCAGCTATATTAAATCCCACATCTCCTGAGAGATTATAGCCAGTTTGGAGACCACTGCAATTTTTATAGAATTGTTTCCTGTGTGTTTTATCTTAAATTTAAGAACGCTGAATTTCATTCGCCATTTTTTCTTCCAGTTCTTTGGTTCTCTGAGTTCTTTCTAAAATTGGAAGAGTTCCTACTTCTCCCCCCCCCATAGAATCACACAGAATCACACAGAATCACACAGAATCACACAGAATCACCCGGGTTGGAAGGGACCCCAAGGATCATGTAGTTCCAACCCCCCTGCCTAGGAGGGCCACCAAACATACACATTCAGATCAGGTTGCCCAGGACCCCGTCCAACCTGGCCTTAAACACGTCCAAGGACGGGGCATCCACAACCTCCCTGGGCAGCCCGTTCCAGGGCCTAACCACTCTCCTAGTAAAGAACTTCCCCCTAACATCCAACCTAAATCTTCCCTCCTTCAACTTAAAACCATTTCCCCTAGTCCTGCTGTTGTCAGCCCTTTTGAAGAGTTTACTCCCCTCCTGGGTGTAGGTTCCCTTCAGGTATTGATAGGCTGCAATGAGGTCACCCCGCAGCCTTCTCTTCTCCAGGCTGAACAAGCCCAACTCCCTCAGCCTGTCCTCATAGGGGAGGTGCTCCAGCCCCCTGATCATCTTAGTCGCCCTCCTCTGGACCCTTTCCAAAATCTCTATGTCTTTCTTGTACTGAGGGCTCCACACCTGGACACAGTACTCCAGATGGGGCCTCACAAGAGCCGAGTAGAGAGGGACAATCACCTCCCTGTCCCTGCTGGCCACCCCTCTCCTGATGGAGCCCAGGATCCCATTTGCCTTTCGAGCTGCCAGAGCGCACTGCTGGCTCATATTCAGTCTCTCGTCCATCAGGACCCCCAGGTCCTTCTCTGCCGAGCTGCTCTCAAGGACCGCTCCTCCCAGCCTGTACAGGTGCCTGGGGTTCTTCCGGCCCAAATGCAAAACCTTGCACTTTGCCGTGTTGAACCTCATTAGGTTCACCCGAGCCCAGCCCTCCAGCCTGTCGAGGTCCCTCTGAATGGCATCCCTTCCTTCCACCGTATCAACCGCGCCACTCAGCTTGGTGTCGTCAGCAAACTTGCTGAGGGTGCACTCAATTCCCTCATCGATGTCATTAATAAAGATGTTAAAGAGCACCGGTCCCAAGACAGACCCTTGGGGGACACCACTTGTTACCGGCCTCCACCTGGACATAGAGCCATTGACCACCACCCTCTGTCTGCGGCCTTTCAACCAATTGCTTATCCATCGGGTCGTCCACCCATCAAATCCACTTCCCTCCAATTTGGAGATGAGGATGTGGTGGGGGACCATGTCAAAGGCCTTGCTCAGGTCCAGGTAAATGACATCGGTCGCCTTCTCTTCGTCCACCAATGCCGTCACTCCATCATAGAAGGCCACAAGATTAGTTAGGCATGACCTTCCTTTGGTGAAGCCGTGCTGGCTGTCTCGGATCACATGCTCATTCTTTATGTGACCGAGCATGTTGTCCAGGAGGATCTGTTCCATGATCTTCCCAGGCACGGAGGTGAGACTCACCGGCCTGTAGTTCCCCGGGTCCTCCCTGCTCCCCTTCTTGTATATGGGAGTGACGTGACCCTTCCTCCAGTCGTTCAGGACCTCACCTGACAGCCACGACTTCTCAAATATGATGGAGAGCGGCTCGGCAACCACCTCAGCCAGCTCCTTCAGGACCCTGGGATGCATGCCATCCGGCCCCATAGACTTGTATTCATTCAGTCTAAGGAGGCACTCTCGGACTTGCTCTGCCCTTACAGTGGGGAGGGATTTACCTCCTTGGTCCCCACATAGAGGTTTGGGGATGCAGGGTTCAGGGACGTGAAAAAGACTAGAATCCTGGCCACCAGTGAAGACCGAGGTGAAGAACTCATTCAGCACCTCAGCTTTCTCTTCATCTGTTGAAGCCAGTTCTCCTTTTAAATTTACCAAAGTAGGTACGCCCGTTTTGGCCTGTCTCTTCTGGGCAATGTACCTGTAGAAGGTTTTCTTATTGTTTTTCACGTCCCTTGCCAAGTTCAGTTCTGCCTGCGCCTTGGCTTCCCTGATCCCACATCTGCAAGTCCGGACGGCGTTCCTGTACTCTTCCCAGGTGACACAGCCTTGTTTCCAGAGCTTGTACACCCCTTTCTTCGCCCTCAGTTCTCTCAGCAGGTCCTTGCTGAGCCAAGCCGGTTTCCTACCTCGCCTGCCCACTTTCTTATTCAGAGGAATGGAGACCTCTTGTGCTTCCAGGAGGGCATCTTTGAAGAGCCGCCAGCTCTCCTCAACATCCTTGTCTTTGAGGGCAGCGCGCCAGGGGATCTTGGCCAGCAATCCATTGAGTAGCTTGAAGTCTGCTCTTCTGAAGTTCAGTGTCCTGGTCCTGCTCTTTGCCAGGCCCACATCGCTTGAGATCACAAACTCAACCAGGGCGTGGTCGCTGGAGCCCAGGCAGCCTCCAACCTTGACGCCTTTGATGATCTCCTCGGCGTTGGTGAGCAGCAGGTCCAGCAACGCTTCACCTCTGGTCGGTCTGTCCAATACCTGAACCAGAAAGCTATCATCAATGGATTCCAAGAGCCTTCTGGAGCTCTTGCAGCTCGCCGTGTGGTAGAAGTTAGTGTTCGGTATTCTCTGCTTTTTGGGGATCCCTTATGAGTACACTGATCAGAGTGCTGTCTGCTTTGGAGCACTTGAGGCCGTCTGCACCAGCCTGATCTTCACCTTATAGAAGCTTTTTAACAAAAGCTTGCTTGTTTTTGCACAGTTGTCCTTTCTGCAACCTGTGATTACACTGGCTATTTTGACTCTATTTTACCTCTGCTGGAAGACTGCACTGAACTGCTTTGCAGTAGCTCTAACTGAGCATCTCTTGAGTGCTGACATCATGAAGCAGTCCAACAAGCTGTGCAGGACCGATCTGCTTCCCTGACACGCTCCAGTCACTTGTGTAATCTGAAAATTTATTTTCAGCACCTCCCTCCATCTACACAGGGGTAATCAGAGCCTTCCCTGGCTGATGTTTTCTATCCCTGTCCCCTCTCTTGACATCCTTCAGTATCGTGCAGTTGTCGACACCTTGGCTGAGGTGCTCTTAGTGCAGTCCCTCCCTGTATATTCACTTCTAGATATGGCAGTTGAGCTCACAGCACCCTCATAAAGCATGCATACGCCTGGCTCAGCATCTGTTTTATGGTAATATTCAAATGAAGCTGTAATCATTCAAGTGAACTTATTCTCTTTAAGCTTTGTTAGTCTTGCCTTAGGCTTTCCTCAAGAGCACAGTGTTTTTCATGACTACACTCTGGAAAAGCCTTTGTCCCAAACTGCCAGCTCTCCTCCTTAGTTTTAGAACCTCAGTCTAGCAGAAATGGTAAGTCATGGCCTGAACCAGTGATTGAGCACCTGGTAGGAAGGTGGGCCAACCCAGGGAGCTCAGGTGTGTGCAATGTACCTGAGTGACCAGAAGGGCTGGAGCCAGGATCCACCTCATCTCATACCTCATTTAAGGGTTGGCAGTGGAAGCAAAAGGATCTTACTGGAGATCCCTGTGTGCTTGAGGCCTTCTAAGGGTAAGCAGATCTTTTTCTTTTTTTCCTTTGTTTGTATGTTCATAGTTGTGTCATTTGAGCTTATCCTCCCCTGCTGCAGCCTAGGACTTTACTACTGCGCTATCATTGCAGCATTTTCCATTGCATTACAGCACTACACTCAGTAACTCAAAGCATTAGAATTCAAGACAAAATACAGTTGTCTGTGGAAATAAATGAACCCAGGAAATTTCACAAGTACAGAAATTCCTGCATATGAATCACCTTCAGAAGGGAAGGGCTGTAGATGCTGACATGCAGCATTGCACTGTGCTCAAAGAATGACTGAACAGGCTGGCACGAGGCACAGGTGCCAGAGCTATCTTGGCACCTGTAGAGCAGGTTCAGCTATCCACCAGGCCTCGAGATATTAATTATTCCAATGCTTGCCATTATGATTGACAACTGCAGAGCATTTTAAAAGTGTAACTGTGACTCTACATCAGCAATTATCCTTTCCATTGTATTCAATCATTCAGATTTAAGCGAAGGTATTATTCCATTTCCAGGCAAACTAAACTAGCAAGGAATGAGAAAAGCTAATATCTTTGTAGTTCTTTAATTTTATTTATATGGTAGCACAATGCAGAGTACTTCACAGTTTGGGAGCATCCAGCAGCAGAACAGAGCTCAATTCTTCCCAGCCACTTCAGCCATAGTGCATACAGGCCGTCTGCTCGCTAACCCCACAACTCTGAGGTGTCCCTGACCTGCGTGCTCTTCTTTCCATTTTATTACCTTTGCTGTGGTCTGTGACCCAGGGGCCTCAGATCCCTTTAGTGTTGAGTCATAGAATTATAGAGTGGCTTGGGTTGCAAGGGATTTCAAAGATCGCGTCGTTCCTCTTCTGCTAGGGGCTGGGAGATGAATAGCCACAGTATCACCAGCTTTCTGTTAAAGTACTGTACAAGGTACAGTTTGCTGCCTGATGAAGAAGACTTGGAGCTGAGCAGTTGGTTGGATCTAAATAAATGTTGTACTGAAAACAGCTGGCAGTAAGAAAGCAATGAAATAACAAGTCCTGGTCCTGCAGCATGGGAAAAAAAAAACCAACACAATTATCTGCCACTTACAATTCAGCAGCTAAAGGTTCTTCCTGTTTCCTGATGTGTTTACGATGACTGTTACTTTATGTATATACATGGATTTTGTTTCTGTACTGCCACGAGTATCCGTGAGGCTGTGATTCATAGCAGAACCTTTACTAAGCGCAAAAAGAAAAGCGCAGTGAAAAAGGTCAAAACAAGTGTCAGTGCTTGCAGCAATTCACATCTCATCTTTTTTTTTTCTCACAGGTTGTAATCATGAGAGATTACCATCACGAAAACGTGGTTGACATGTACAACAGTTACCTTGTCAGCGACGAGCTGTGGGTGGTGATGGAGTTCCTGGAGGGCGGTGCTCTGACAGACATCGTGACTCACACCAGGTGGGCTGTGAGCTGCAGGCAATCCCAGTGGTGCATACACAACTGTATGCATGTGTGGCTATGGCTGTGTATGTGTACAGATATGTCTATAATATGCTGTGTGTGCATGCACATAGGTATATGTACGCATACTGTGGCACACTCACAGTACCAGTGTAACTGTGCCACTGCAGGTGGCTTTCTGTCAGTGCAGGTGTTTTCTTAAAAAGAAGGAAAAGAAATATCTGGAAGGGCTTGCTGGGAGGCAGAGATTTGCCAGAGCTCTTGGTGTTAATGTAGCAGAGATTACCTTTATCTGTTAGTTCCCCAAATGATTGGAGGAGGAAAAAAAAAAAAAAAAAAGGCAAAAAGCTCCTTTTCCTTGTATGGTGATCTGTAGTGTTGGCTTTGCTTTTGTAACTCTGTCAGTTTTGGGGTTGAGTTCTCTTGATACTCGTAACCCACGTAGCCATGCTGTCAGAAGCATTAACTACAAACTGAGCCTGACACGTAATGGGAAAAGTATTTTTCTGTCTCTCAGCATTTGTGCTTAACAGTGGAGCTGGTTCCCAAATTCAGTTAATGTCATGCCTTTAAATAAGGCACTTGACCAGTAGAGAGGCTGTAGTGTACTGAACCTCTCTTCCAGTTCTTCTTTGAGTTGGATCTTAAAGCCTGTCTTACATCCACTCCTTGCTCACCTCGTTCTGCTGAGCAGGACCAAATGGGATAGGAAGGAGGAAATTTCTAATTTCTTCATTTAGAATAAAACAACTTGAACTTCCACAACAACTCAGTGGGAGAGTACTTAGGTGAGCAAGACAGAAAGCAAAAAGAAAATTAGATGTTAAAATTTGTCTTCTTTCACAGCTTAGTGATCCTCATAGATCCTACAAAAAAAAGTTCATGGTATTTTATTTTGAAGAGTTGCCTTAGCTGATGTGCTGAAATACAGCATAATATTGCAAGCCATTTATTAACTGCTGCTCCCCAAAACATTAAAAGTTCCATTGGAGATATTTCTGACAGGAGTTGATGTTCCCAGGACACCACTTCTTAAGAGCTGTCATCTCTTGGTGGTGGTGAAGCTGGGGACACCCAGCTGTGGTGCATGACTGACCTGTCCAGTCAATCGTTGCCATGCTGCAGCAGCAGCTTTTTCCATGGCAGGGCTTTTCACATGTGCACAGAAATGAGGACTTGATAATTCTCTTGCTGTATATTTTCTTCTATGAAATGCTTTCAATTTGTTATAATAATCATAAAGGCAAGGGTAATGCTCTTAAAGTTACGCCCAAGGCTTGATGTTTCTTGTATTCATTCTATGCCTGATTCCATTCCAGTAGTCATTTATTCTCCTTGGCAAGCAGGAACTTTACTGTAAATAAGGCATTTCTGTTATTTCCCATAGGGAAACAGGCTCACTGTAATACACTGTATCACATAATAGACTCTGCTCTTTTAATGCTACACAGGGACTTGCTGCAGCCTCATTGCAGAATTATTCCTCACCCATCATCTCTCTTTCCTGACAGAAATAATTCATGTACTGTTGTGAACAGGAACCTGGGCTTCTCCACTCCAGCTCCCCTTTCCTGCTTTCTTCCTTAATGCTCAGTATGTTTTTCCATTCTGCTGTTTCAGGATGAACGAGGAGCAGATAGCAACTGTCTGCCTGTCTGTACTGAGAGCTCTGTCCTACCTGCACAACCAGGGTGTCATCCACCGTGACATCAAAAGTGACTCCATCCTCCTCACCAGCGATGGGCGGGTGAGTGCTGAGCATTTCTCCTGCCGTCTCTGGCTGGCACACAAGGGGTCTGCCTCAGGGGTTGAAGGGGTCTGTTACAAAAACAGCTGTGCGCATGGCTTGCCAAAGTAACACCAACTTCCAAAAAAAATAAAAATACAGAAGTTGAGTCTCTGAGCAGCTCTTCTGCTCCATGCCAGGAGTCGTAGTGGATAAGAGCTTGGTTCCTGATCCTAGTGCAGCCAAACAAGCACTTGAATGGAAGTGGCCCATGTCCAGCCCATTGCTCCTGGCCAGTGATAGAGCCGTTGGCAGCATGTTGTGTGCAGAGCAAGGGTTGCCCAAAATGCTGCCTTGCCCATGGGTCTCCATGCTCTTCTGTAGCGAACATTGGCCCCCATGGGTTGGTGGGGAATTTAAACCCAAGATGTCATCCCTGCAGTCTGTGTCAGGGAATCTGTGCCCCTCACCAGGACAGTACATTGTGGCACTGACAGAGTACCGCTGCCTTCCCCTCAAAGCCCAGCCAGGCTGACAGAGCTAAAGGGAGTAAATAAAGAGGAAAGGAAAATGCAGTTTAGTTTTCTATCTCCTATCTGGGAGGAAAGTGGGAGACTTGGGTCCCTCTGTTTCTCTGATCCTAATCTGTTGTAAGACAAAATGCTATCAGATAATGGGAAAAATAGCCTCATCCTTTGTGGGGTTTATTGATTATATGAGAGGAATAGGGTTGTGTATAGTGAGGTTGAGCTCCAGGTAGGATTCTACAGCAGGCTCTGAGCCAGACCTGCAAAATGACAGCTTCAGTCTTGCTAGAGAGCCGAATCAGAAAAGCACAGGCTTGGCCAGTGGTTCACATCTGTACTGCATGCAGAGTCCCCATGGGGAATTACAGCCCCTGGGAGGCATTGGCAGAAGAAACTATGCCAAAGGGTGATGCTTAGGTAATGGGCAACTTCCTTCAGTTCTGCCCCACTCCTACCTTGAAGCCTTACAGAAATTTGTCTTTTTATTACTTTCAATGATCTTTTAGTTTGCAAGCTTTTATATACATAAGCTCTGTTTTAACTAGTTCAGTCATACCCAGGGATTCCCATAGGTAGGATTTCAGGGTTGCTGCAGTGGGATTACACGTGTACCCAAAGCAGGATGTAGGAAGTGGATCAGAATGAGACCAAGAGCACCCAAATCTTCCATCATCTTCTGAAGATGAAACTTGAGGCTTCTCAGGCCTGATCCAGTTCTCTCCCATGTAGTTTGCATTTGATTCCCACATCACTGAGAGAGGGATTTCCTTCTTGCAGCCATCACAGGCCAGCCTTGTTAACCTTGTTGGGGGAGAAAATTCCACATGGATAGGAGTTTGAGTTTTTTCAGTTGCAGTTTTGATCCATGTTGCTGAAATAGCATCTGAACTGCTTTCAGGCCCTCCATAGAGTGCCTCATTATACTCATTACTCTGGTACTTACTATCTGCATTGCAGATTTCTTCATGGCTGTGTTGTGTAATTATCTTTTTTTAGAAAATCGTCGTCTTTTATGTACTTGAACAAGCAATAGATATGCAAAACCTCTTGTGCTCCTACAAAAGAAGACTGGGCGCTGCTTCCAAAATTCACTATTTCTTCCATTCTTCATCCTGTGAACTGAAAAATATGTTTAGCTTGGAGGACTTGACTGTTGGTGGCTTTGTTTTAGAAATACCAACAATCATTTTGTAATTCTATGCTAAATAATACCCATAGTTGTTTTTTTTTTTTTTTTTTAAAGTAGGGTCTGTACTAAATCCAAAAGAAAACAAATCAGAGCTCATAGTAAACTGCTGCTCTACACAATGCAGCAATTGATGGAACTTCCCACTTGACTTGTGCTGGGGCCGTTTGGGCTCACAGCACATCCCCAGGTGCCAGCATGCAGCTGGCTTGGTGACTCATGGACTCTGGGTGCCGGCTGCTATTGCACTATGTGGGGCGTAGCTTGAGGGACCAGGGGCTGCCCTCATGTGGAGCAGCTTCCAGGAAAAGCCCAGGGGTGGCTTTTAGGCCTCCAGAAGAATACTTGGAAAAACAAATGCATAAGCTGCCTTGAGGAGCAAGTGGTCTCTGGAAGGCAGCATTGCCACAAAAGTCATGCCAGCTGATTTTTGGCCCAGTTTGGAGGAATTTTCACCTTCATGTTGTACAGCAGTGGGGGAGGAGGAAGGTCATAATTTTCCTGCATTTTTGTTGGTTAAAAAAAAAAAAAAACCACCTGTATCTAAGTATGAGCAGGCACATGATGCAGCAGGAGCTGCTCTCCAGAGTGCTCGTGTATCCCATTATTTCTATTTCAGGTCACTGCCACAGCTACTCAAGGACAATGCTTTCCTTAGTTCCCAAGTTCCCAGCACTGGATGCAGGTCCCTGATCTCTTGCAGCCATTTTGGAGGAGTCTTCCACCTATCCCTGCCTCCCTCAAGCCCCTTACTACACACAGATGACAGTTTCGAGGGGCAGGCCACAGCACACTTGAAAAATTGTTGGTTGAGGGTATTTCTTTTTAGGAGTGTCAGATCACGCTCTGTGTAGAAAAAGAAACATGGGATCATCTTTTTTCTGGCAAACTCAAATCTCAAAGCTGATAGAATAGTAGGAGTGATATGAATCACTTCCAAGAGATATTGTATTGAATATTAGTAAATACACATACACTGCGAACACTAAGTTAATATATTTGCATAATATTGTATGCTTGGAATTTTTGCTTTCCTCTGAGTTACAGGCCATTGATCACCTCTGCACTTCTGCAGGAGGAATGACAAGGAGCTATGAGAGGTGATCTGAGTAGCGGGCGCTGCTGCCAGCCTCTGCCACTTTCTTGCCTTCCATTTGGTGTAACCAGCCATGCTCTCTCCAGGCTCGTCCTCCATCTCCAACCTCACTTCCAAAACCATGCTGCTGCCCCATCCCAGCTGCTACAGCAGGAGACAAGTGCTTTTCCCAGGGGAAAGCATATCTGGCTGGATCAGTGCGTTCCTTGTTACACAAGAGGGGCTTTCTCTTCTCTCTTTTAGATCAAATTGTCCGACTTTGGGTTCTGTGCCCAGGTGTCCAAGGAGGTGCCGCGGAGGAAGTCGCTGGTTGGGACGCCGTACTGGATGGCACCAGAGGTGATATCACGCATGCCCTACGGCACTGAGGTACGTGCTGCAGGGCACCCAGGGTGGCACATGGTGCCGCAGTCAAACCCACTGAGCCCAGGGAGAAGACAAAAGTTGAGATGCTGTATGTAGCTGTGCTGAACAGCAGCACTCCTGTTTGCCCCCGAGTGTGACGCTGTGTGCTTTGTTAACATACTCCTTTGTAAAGTGTGGTCAAATAACTCTGTTTAGAGTTCTAAGCAGTGTAATGCCTTTACATAGTTTAGCTTAGGGTACTCTGTGAAAGAAAACTGGCATCATTTGCATGTTGGGGAAGACCTCTGTGTTAGTCTGCAAGCTGCAGATAGAGGCATGTACCCCTCCATGTACCAGACCAGTAGCCAATGTGCACAGCTGCACCACAAGGCCAAGTCACATCAGTACTTTCACAGGCATGCAAGGAGAGACCCCCTGAGCTTTCAGCCAGTTAAAGCTTGGATTCCCCAGCCTCTAGGGGAGCGCTAGCAAAGGCAAAGCCATGGGCCTTTAGGATCCCAAATGTAAGAGCCGGCTGGGTGAGGTGGGTTGCCATAATCTGTAGTGTTCTCATTGCAGTAAATTCTCCAATTAGTTGAAAGAGGAAAAAAATAACAAAGTACAGTGTGAGAACTGTTTTAAGAACTGCAGGCCCCTCTGAAAAAGAGGCAGTCCATATGTTTTTATCAGAGACTTTGATCTCAGAACAGAAAGGACAGGTTGGTGGGAACTGGCTCAGTACTTCTGCTCTGCCAGCCTGGGATTTATCCAGTCTCAGCAGAAACAACATTTCAATCCCCAGCTCAGGACACAGCTGCATTTTCTTCTGCCTGGTCAGCTTCTGCTTGATAGTGCCTGTAGTAACAGCTACAAAGAGCAATCCTGCTATATGTCTGTGTGTGTATATATATGCTTACTTTTGTGTGCATATACACATACATGCTGCATATATGTGAGAGAGATGCACTCTCACATGTATATATGCACACAAAGGAGTGGAAGCAAGCTGTGCAGCCAAGGCCTGGGATAGGAGATGATACATCTTGAGAACACGCAGAAGTGCTCTGTTTGGCCCAGGCAGGGCGTGCTTCTACCTGCGAGTGCACCCTGCATGCACTGGCATTTGCCCCAGTGTGTGGTGTTGTAAGAGACATTTCAGGGATAATAACATCATCTATTATTAGCCTATTAATGACACTGAGGAGATTATAAAGTGCTTGAATTCTTTCCCTATTGGTGGGGAACCTAATGAAGCTGTAAAGAAAAGAAAAATTAAGCTGAAGGATAGTGCTGGCAGAAGAGCAAAATAAGTATGGCGTGGCCCTGATGGTATTTAGGTTGGCAAATGACAGGAATTACTGCAATCAGAGTGGGGTTCTGGAACAGCTTGCAGCAGACTGGGACAAAAAAAAAAAATTGGTGTTTCTTTTTTTAAGCTGGAGTGAATCATTTTCCAAAGGGATTTTATAATGTGCTACCTGCCATCGCTGTAAATGAGCCTGGGTGTAGTAAGTGTGTGCTTGTGTTTGCCAAGGGGTAAGAAGGAGGTGCTACAGTTGTTAGTATTCAAAGGAAATACTACCTGATTTCACAGCAGCTGTTCTCTGCTGTGTTTCCACTCACTGCACTTTTCCGTAGCACTGCAGAGCCAGTGCAGGGAAGAGTCAGTGGGTTCAGAGTGGTGCAGCTCAAGTGCCACACCGCAGGGTACGGGCAGCCTATCCTACAAGCATGCCTTAGCAGTGTCCCAGTGGCCTTCACCTCAACCAGCTGCAGACCCAGTCTGTATGTTGTTGCTATGTCATTTCTTCAGTGCACTCAGTGTCATCAGCTGGTTAAAAAGAAAAAGGGGATGGTTCACCCAACTGCTGCCTTAAAATGGTTGCTGACAGCAGTTGGTGTGCAGCTCTGGGGTTTATGTGACCCTCAAATGCCAAGCCTGTTTCTTCACTCTGTGCTACCAGCCGTGTTTGTGAACCAGCTGTGTGTTGCAGGTGGACATCTGGTCTCTGGGCATCATGGTGATAGAGATGATCGACGGTGAACCTCCCTACTTCAATGAGCCGCCACTGCAGGCCATGCGCCGAATCCGGGATAACTTACCGCCCCGCGTGAAGGACATGCACAAGGTCAGGCCTCCCACGGGTGATGAGGGCCTGGAGCACATGCAGGTGTTATAAAACCACAGCCACACACTGCTGTGTCTGAAGTGTAAATTGTGTCATTAAGTGCCACCTCGAGCAGTGGGCGCTTTGTGAGACTGATGCAGGAGGACAGGAAGCTAACAAACAATTTTGTGCCCAGTGCTGACTTTGTTTTTGCAGCAAGTGCCCAAAACGGGGGCTGGGCAGAGCCTCACACTCCCTGCACTTTCTGCCCTGCCTGAGGACCAGAACAAGGCAGTTATGCAAGCCCTGCTCTGTACAGGTTGGTACAGCCATGCCCATTGCCAATGCCTTTGGGTCCCTTGGGTGCATTTCTGTATAATGTCAGACCTGAGCCCTCAGCAATCATGAGAAGTGTTACTGCTTTTCTTAGGTTGCATACAAGGCTTTGTATTGTGTGCTGTTCTGCACTTCAGTGCTTTCAACATGAACGATGCATGGTCCTTCGACTCAGTGTATCTTTGTCTCAGGAAAGCTCAGAGAATCTGTTGTCTTCACAAGAAAAATGACATGCAAAGTACTCAGCATATGCTGGTTATCTTGTCATTGTCTGCTCCTAATGCCAGCATGGTGTTGCAGGTCTCCTCTGTCCTCCGGGGCTTCTTGGACTTGATGCTGGTGCGGGAACCCTCACAGAGAGCCACGGCGCAGGAACTGTTGAGACACCCATTCCTTAAGCTGGCTGGGGCCCCTTCTTGCATCGTGCCCCTCATGAGGCAGCACCGGCACCGCTGAATGCAGCAACTTCTCAGGAGGAGATTGGTGCAGGGGCCAGGTAACGGCAAGGCAGGAATCCCTGCGGTTGTGTTGGAACCACGGGAAGGGGTGAGGAAACCTTGCGTAAGAAAACCCGCCCCACGGAAATAACGTGGTGTATAAAACCCAAACGGGTGCTCCATGGGGGTGCAAAGGACCCGGGGGGTGAGCCTGGCCACCCCGCGGGGGGGGGGGGGATGTGTGCTGTGGCTGCACCATGCTCTCATCTTGGCCATCCAGGCAGAAGGTGCCAGATGCAAACAAGGGGGGAAAGATAATGAACAGGATAGCACAACCAGAGCGAAACACCAGGATTTTGAAAGTAATGGCTATGGCACTTCTACTTCAGAAAAACACTGTTCTGACACAAAAAAAAAAAAACAAAAAAAAAAAAGCACTTTTTTAATCTCAGTCATAGCAGTGTAATGTATTTTGAAATGAATTTGTAATTTTCTGTACAGTACTTTTGATAATTTGCAGTACTTTGTCATGTAACCATTGTGCTAGTTGAAGTAATATGTGTAACTTAGCAAGAATTTGAGAAGATAAAAATGTTTCCTACTTTTTTTTTTAACCCTTTTGAATATGGAAAAAAAGCCTTCTAGAAAGTTAGAAAATTTGGCAGATTTTTCCCTTGGGGTGTGGAGAGTGCTTTGTCCTGCTGTCACAATAGCCTGAAGATCAATGGGTGCCAACAACAAGAACACAGTGAGGGCAGATGCTTTGTGTGCTTCCCTTCTGGGGGCTGCTGGCCTCATGGCAGCAATCCAAGCTTCTGCCATCTGCAGGGAGGCACCGGGGCCCTCTGTTTCCCTTCCTCTAGCTCTGGGAACTGACACAGACGTACCTTTGCTCAAGGGTCACCCAGCGACCTGGCAGCCCCCTCACATCCCGCTGCTGCAAAGTCAGGTTAGTTTTGCAGAAATACCCATTATTTTTGTCATGCTCTGGAAGTTGATGGAAGCGTTCTCCAGCGTTGGAAGAGACCGTTGTGATACATTATGAGATGTTTGCCATATAGAAGTCGTGCTGCTGTCTAGACCTTCTTGAATGTTGATACAACAGTTGACTACTATGGAACATTTTTGTGTTACTTGTTGGATGAACTTGCATGTTAACTGTAGGCCTATAGCTTTGCCTTTAAAATTTTTAGAAGTGCTTCATAATTAATTATTTCAATGATAAATTAAATTTTATTTATTAATGATCAGTTTTTAATTATGTATAGTATGAAAGCCATGTTTTTCCAGTTTTTTTTTTCTTACTGACCTCATTTTATGATATGAAAAGCCAATTTTGTGACAACAGGATTAGCTTATTTCTTATTACAAAATTTCATAGTGAATATATTATTTATCATTGCAAATTATAACTAAACCCCTTGAAGATCTTCCTCCCAGGCAAAAGACTTGCCAATAGGACAGATGCCTTTTTAGTGCCACCCTTAAAAGTTAAGTGACAGTTGAAGGGGGAGTAGCAATTAAAGGAAGCAAACAGGAGGGGAGAGAAATATGAATTTGAACATTGCATAAATATCCTTCAACATACATGCCTCACCCTCCTCTGCTTTCTCTTCTTAACCCTGTTTGCACATTTCAAGGAAGCGTGTTCAGCGGAGCCTCTCGGCCCTGCTGCAAACATGCTCTGCTGGTACAGACCTGCAGAAAGCCAGCTGAGAAAGCAGGGCAGCTGTGGAGTTTTTAAGAGTTTGTATTTTGTAGTCTTGACAACTCAGGAAAAAAAAGGCTGCACAGGTAGAGGCAGTGGCATACAGGAGAAACTGTAATACTAGACAAAGTCAAACTTTTTTAAACCATCTTTGAATAAAAATGGGGTTGGTGGGTTTTCCTCTTTAATACTCAGCACACTTTAGACTGTTCAAGTGGAGAATTTTTTTGCAACTTTCTTATCATTAGATACTTCAGATACTTCAGACAGTGTTCATTGAGTTTATGGAAAGTTTTGTTGGGTGCAAAGGTTATTGTTTGGTTTTTTTTTTGTGATCACCAGCTACTGGTGAGACAATACACATGCAAGTTAAATAAATTAATACATAATTTTACTTCCACTGTGGTTGTTTTCCATGTCTTCTGTGTCTTTTCTAAGTTGTGCACAATGTCACAGACTGCTTGGCCAAGCCAATAGCCAGAAGAAGGTTCCTTGTATGTACATGCAAATATATTAAGTTTAACCTGAAGAGCTGCAAGTTGGAAGATGCATAATGCTCAGGTAAGGGGCCCTGACATCATTGTTAAATTACTTCTGGAGAAGTGGAGAAAAATGATGGCAAGAAATAATCACAGAAATTGAGCTCCTCAGTCTATGCAGAACTCCTTGATGTGGGGTACAGATTATTTTTTTTTTGAGCCCCTCCAGTCCCTGAGGAGGCCGTGCTGACTGGGCCAGAAACACCCCCTGTTCTCCACAGCAGCCTCCCCTTCACTTTCTTCTTGCACAGAACAAACCTTCCCTCTGGCAGAAGTCACCCTGCCAGCTGAAGCAAGTGATGTAGTTAGAGAAATGTGAGGGTAGGCCCTGGAAGCAAGGCACTAGGATTCAGCCATGAATCTATGAACCCTCTGACATAACACAGACACATATGTGCACACGCACACAGTCTTACAAAATGCACAAAAGAAGCCTTTCGTTGCTCAGTACGTTGGTGCTGGTGACATTTAGCAGGAGCATGCAGGCATCCCTTTGCAGTCAGCCATAAAGTACCAAAAATTATGAGAAACAGTTGGCAGACCCACACAGTGTTGTATCTGAAGTACTCCAGAAGAACTGAGCCCACTGAAACATTTCCAGCTTCTCTTCCTGTCCCCAAGGCAATCTTTTTTCCCCCCCTTTACATGGCCCTAAAACATTACTCAGCTACCCCAGGAGTGGCATCAGTTAGCTTTATCTCTGCCATTAGTTGCTTGTTTGCATTAGGCCACATGCTTTCAGTTGTCAACATCAGTAAACGTTTCAAAATGCACTCACCATCATCCTTTGAGAAACTGTCCCTAGGATGAAGCCAGAGCCAGTCAAAAGCAGCACATAACCAACACCACTTACCTCGTGCTCCTGTTGTCACTAATAAACGGTGCATTTTCCTCAGCTCACCCATTCTACAGCCATTCACAAATACTTGTAACTGCAGGAGCAGAGGCCAGGGCATTTATTGGCAGCATAACTCCCTTCCTCAGAAATACATCAAAAATTATAATTAAAGTTCTATCCATAAGTACTTTGGAAGTCCTTAACAGCTGTTTCAGTAAGTACTTAATTACTACAGGTCCTTATAGAGCTTAGTAGGTTGATGAGTTCCCCAAATTTATGCACGTTCTACCATGTGTTCATAAACAACCACAAAGCAAAGTGTTTGTTTGGTTTGCAGCTAACTCGTGATAAGCCATCTATGAATAAAAACTAAACACAAACTGAAATGTAAAAAACTTAAAAATAAATGAGCTCACAGTGGAAGCACTGCCATCCTCAAGTTACTGCAGACAGCTTTTTGAACTGCTAAAGAATTTCAAAAAAGTAGTTTGGAAAATCATCAATTGACAGAAAATTCAGTAACTTAGCAAAAACATGATTTGAACTGAAAGATGTAAAGAGTTCTCTGTGGAGATTTTAAGCAAGCATGGATGGGTTACCCAAATCTTCAGTCTTCTATGTCAGACCTTAAGTCAGCCACATTGGCACCAACAGCTTCTGCACTGCCCACACCCTGGTTTGTGCCTCACCAGGCAGCCCTTTGGCATTACAGGTGGTGGTACTGCAGACTGACAGCCACTCTTCCACTGTAGCACAGCAATGCTTTAATTTTACTATTGCCACATGGCTGGAAAAACCAACCCAAGCATACTTTTGCCATAAATACATCTCAATCCAAGCTACAGTTTCAACACTGAACTTACTACTTTTCTTAGAAGAGAGAGTTGCTGATTTGGATCAAGCAGAACAAGATGTTATTTCCATTCCCTTAGCTAAGACAAGGCCTGAGGAGCCAAGGGAAGACAAAGGCTGCAGTGGGAACCGGGTGGTACCAAACAAAACATGCCATCACCCACAACACACATAAGAAAGAAATGGCTGAGATCAGAACACTGGAAATGGCCTATAGGCAACACAACATCAAGCACCCACAGAATACATCACCAATCCATCTGTACCAAAATACTGCTAGAACAACAATCTACACTGAATAGCATTCCATCTGACTGCCCATTGTCACACCTGCCCCCCTCAGATACCACAGATCTGGCAAAAAGTATTAGAGCATTTCAAAATAACAACGGAAATCAAGTACGCTATATGTACATGTTTTAATTCATTTAAAAATGGCCTACATTTCAGGTTAGATTCCAAGAGTTTCCTTACATTTTTTCTGTTACGTTAGATTATACCTGAATAATCTGCATAGTAACGTGAATAGTTCTGTTTTCTTTTTTGTTTGTTTCTGTCTCACTGTGAAGGTATCAGTTGCAAGTAGCAATGTAACATCTCAACAATCACAATACGTGCAGAATGTCCAGCCAGAAGCATTTCTCAGTTGACTTGCAGTAGCATGGCTCTTTATAGTTTGTGTAACAATACTCTTTTTTGTGTGCGTTTCTTTTGTTTGTGTGTTAAGTTTAAGTTAAATTTAATTCAGATGTGGCGCAGGAAGCAAAAACAAATTTTCCTCACTCCCCCTCACGTGTGGGGTCAGTTCCTCAGCTGGCTGCAGTACTACAGTACACAGCAGCTTGAGGATCTGGCCTGAACTTTTCCGGACACATCCCCATACCTTTTTGTGATTTCCTTAACATGAGTGCAAATGCCAGCAATGTGTTTGGAGCCCCTTTCTCAGAGGACCTTAATGAAGTCCACGCGATGGCCAAGTCCCCCCAGCTCTCTGGAAATACACAAACACAGAGGGTGAACAGATGCCAAGAGCAGCAATGGGGAGGTAAGAATCCCTTGAGGAATAAAGAAAAAAGGAAGAAACAAAACCATTTTGCCCCTTGTGGTAGACTTTGACACATGAAGTACTTGTCTACAGGTGTTGGGTTCAGCTGATGAAGAAGGTATTCACAGCACCTACTGCCACACACAGAGTCCTGAAATCAGACATGCTTAATTGTCTTACGGAGACAGCTGAGTCTGTGCACTGACTATATAGAAGCTTAACCTCCTCTGTCTCCACAAAATACCTGCAGTTGGGTGTTGTGAATACCATCTCTTCCTCCCCCATAACCTTTTCTCTCCCAAAGAAAAAATTGCTTTTGCTTTGTCTACCTGATGAATATCCGTGCTGCTGGGTCCTGTTGCCTATCCCATGTGTTTGTACTGAGATCTGTCACGAGGAATCTGCACTTGGTTGGCTGTGAGCTTATGGTGGATGTGGTAAACACAGAGGGTTATCACAATAACCAACCCCAGTATCAGGCCCAAAATCAGAGGCAGGGTTTCTTCTAACTGCTCCCTCTGGTCAACCGGGCACTTGTGTTCTGCAAGGGGAAAAATGAAAGGGAGATAAACAGAGAAATGAGTGAGACACGGCAAATGTTGGAGAAGCTGTCCTGTAGAAGTCAGCTGCACACCAGGATCCCTGCATAGCAAAAATAGCTACACCAACAAAGAGAGACAGCAGCAGTCATCAGAGTCCTGGGGAGAAAATCAATTGCTCTGGAGGAAACTGAAATCACAAACAGCACAGGTTTGGAGGGAGAGGAAGAGTCTTTTACCATGCCAGCTGACACAGTGGAATAAAGTGCTTTCAGACCATAAACTATTCTTCAAAGCTCTGCCATCCTAATAGAGCACCAGCACTGGGAGCAGGACAGCAAGAGCAAGCTTCCTCACCCTGTTCTGTTTATTCAGAGACCATGAAGGTGATAATCACAAGGCCTTGACTTCAGCATGCCTTAAACCTGCATCAGTCTGACCCTGCTTTTACTAAAAGGGTTTTTCCCCTCTGCCTGTGGGCTGATAGACCCACCAACCCCTATCCCCTCCCTGCGAGCTGCCTGAGGGCAGTGTCCCAGTACTGGAGAGCACTGCACTTGTGGACAAGCAGCATCACAGCAGCCACTCTTGTTTGTCAAATACAGAAAAGGACGAACAGAAGCACCATGAGCCTCCCTTCTGGTTTACTCCCTGGCCTGCAAATCCTCACCATCATTCAATAAACCCCTAGAAAATTATCACTGCAGTATGGGAAAACACTTCTCTATTTAGCTTGCAAATGCAAAGTCACCAAAAGTGGAAAACAGTATCCTTTTAATTCAGCTCCCTTATGCTGCCACAGCCTATTACAGGCAATAGGTTCATGATTTACTTGCTTAAAATCTCACTTGTCCATGCTGATGCTCAGGCAGTACTGGTGGTGCCAAGGTGGGGCTGCCATACCAAAACAAGAATGCCAGCCCTTAAGAATAAATCTATCAGTACAGCAGGGACAGTGCTCCAGTCCCCGGCTTCTCTTATTCACTGTGCCAGAATTCTACTGTCAACAATGGAAGTAGCAGTAAGTTTCTAAAAGAAAGAGGCAGAAAAAAGAAGTTATGTCAGACACACTCAAAAAAGGGCACCACGAAGACCTCCCATCATGAAACACCAGATGGGTTCCCCTAGCAGCTGATGCAATGCAGCAAGATGCAGAGATCTGGAATAGCTGGAATAGCAAACCCTGCAACCTACTCTTTCAAAATACCTACTGCTAGAAGCAGGAAAAACCATGACACCTTTCAGCACAAGCAGGAGGGGACAGCAGGAATGTAACTGTATTTCCAGTGCTGCCAGCACCTCTGGAGACACACCGCCTTCCAGAGCGGAGCCCACATCCCCGCAATGCGTTTGGGAACATTTCAAGCCACAAATAAAGTGAAACATAAAAGCAAAAGTGAGATGCAGTCTGACAAGGAAGTATTCTTTCAGTTCCAGTTGCTCACTGTTCCATCAGAGGAGCAATTAATCACTGGGACTGTTACAGGCGGTTCAGCAGTTGCTGCAATGCAGGGGTTTTGTTTGTAGTAGGAAGAAAGGGGAACAAAACAAAACAGAAAAGACAGAAAACCAAATTGGGTTCCCAGAGCTCTATGGAATTCCCCCCAGTTCAGGATAGTGAGGCCTGACTGGGCTCACAATACTGAGCAGAGCCTCAGCAGCTGCTTGGTACCAACTGCAGGAACAGCCGTGGTCAGATCTGACCCCAACTGTGCGTAGGCGCAAAGAAGCGGATGGGTAAGCACTCTGCTTAAATACTACAGAGCACTGCAACAAGTCTGCTGTAACCCCAGCTGAGGGCACCCACCTGTGCTCAAACATGGCAGGTTTGCCCACACTCATTTCCTTAAATAGGAGCAGTGCTGGATTTTCAGAAGAACAAGGTCAATGTGAAAGTCTGTGGGCAGAGCAAAAGCCCAAGCCAAAAGCCCTAGGACTAACCCAACTTTCAAGCACCTGCATTTCTATCTACTGCAAAAGCAAATTGGTACAAAGCACAACATTTATCAGAAGACATAGCCAAAACTCACATCCACAGGCTGTATTTAAGTCTCTGAGTCACAACTCACAAAGGTGTCAGTTCTTGCAAGCAGCCACGGAAGATAGCTCTTTTTCATGACACTTTTTAAAGGAGGATTATAAGAAAATAAAAATACACCAACAAGAAAAAATAAAAAAATAAAAAAGAACCAAGGCAAAGCTATTGCTCTCCAGCAGCACACCGCATAGCATGCTGCCCCCCCAGCCAGGCATTGCAGGCAGCCGGGCACCTACCCTCACCCAAACACATCCACTCTGACCCACTGGAGCTGCTCACTGACACCTCTGCTCTCAGAGCATCGGGAAGTGGGGCTGAACTGCAGGGAGCCCAGCAGGAAGGTGCCCAAAGCACTAAGCACAGCACCATCTGCTCAGTACTACAGCTACTGCGAGCTCAGGGGATGAATTTTGTACTTTAACACCATATGAACACTGCATTCATATTATAATACATCTTTTCACATCTATAACTCTATCCTTCAACATCAATACTGCACTTTCATCCTTAGAAGATAAGGCAATGCAGATGCTGAGGCCTGCAGTCCTGCAAGGATGCAGCAGCAGGTGCTATTCCCACCCTGTCAGAAAAGATGTGTGTCAGAAAAAAAAAAGAGTGCAGGAATTACAGGCAGTGCCACACTCAGGCATCTGACCTGAGCAACCCTAGCGTGGGCAGAAGCACTGCTCAGTGCACAGCAAATTAAAAACTGTCACTTTAAACACACCTACACATTATATCAATAGTTTCTGCAGGAAAACAGCTCCTTTCCATTTCATTTTCCCTGTGATTTTGGTTTAGGTCACACAGATCTCAGCATTTTCCCAAACTGCTGAGGTTTCCACCCAGTTCAGCAGGGTGCAAAGGTTCCCTGGGAATCCTCACTATGCAGTAAGTCAGGGTGATGCCGTGAGGTTGGCTGCCCCCCGGGACCACCTCATAGCCCCATACAGAGCTGCAGGAGGATGACAAAGGATGCACCCAGGTGTGCTCTATTCCTTTGTGCTGAGACTCCTCAGGCAGCACGAGGCACCGCAGCTCACGTACCGCCACGGTTTCTATGGTGAATGCTCGTCCAATTTCAGCAGTAGGCTACAAAACCACTCACCAGGCCCATTTCCTTGTTTCAGCCTCCTTCGGCAGAACAAACAGCAGCAAGGAAAAAAAATAAAAAATAAAAAAATAAAAAAACCCATCAGACAGCATTTTTCCGCAGTCACAACTGCAAACCCAAGATCTGGTGCAAGGGCTGTGAAACGGATGGAAGAACAGCCCGGCAGTGCTTGGCATGGCAAGATGGATTTTTGAGATGGGTTTTTGTAAGCAATTTTTTTTTTTTTTTTTTTTTTTTTTAAAAAAAAAAAAAAAAAAAGGGCAGCCTTGTGCTTTTTAGCTGTGGCCCTACGCCTCACAAAGGGGAGCTGCCCTGAGAAAACCGCTCACATTTGGGGCTGCTTAGGAGGAAGACGACCCATTGCCTGCCTCTGGATTCCAGTGTGCCTGCATTTTGGAGGATTTTCATGGAAATCAAAAGAGTTTGTGTGGCTCCTTCTCCCCTCTAGATGTTCTCCTCTCACTCTCTTGCTTTAGTTCTCTTTTTGCTGATTTTAAAGCTGAAGAAATGCACACTTTCTGTTAAAAAAAGAATCCCAATTTCAGAATGAAAAATTCTGCTGCTTTCATAGAATGGCCTACATTAGAAGGGACATTAAAGACCTTCTACACTGAGAAGTGTAAAGGAGTATCTATATGTCCATGTGCTGGTTGAAAGCAGTATCTTAAAAAAATAACAGTAATCCCAGCACTTCTGGCATTCAAAAAGTGAAAGTAATCTGATCACTGCAAATTCCTTAATCTCCTCCAGGCAGGACAACGCGAAGATGAATGATGAGTCCATTGCCCACCACTACTTTGCAGTGTAAGACGATTCTCCTGCTCTAGCAGGTCTCATTCTCTGGTAAAAAAAATATTTTAGAATGTTCTGTAGCTTGTCCATAATTAATAGGAATTTTACCTAATGGGAAATTAATGAACCAAAAAGGAGAAGGCTAATTACTGTAATTTCAGATTGGCAGTGATTCTCAGACCCCACAAAGGATCACGTTCTGCCATGCATGTGGTGAGCACACAGCAGACTGCAGGGCTGTGCCGCAGCCAGGGCTGGAGCTCTGCTCTTAGACAACCACTATCCAGCAATCCTGGCCATCCTTTCCAGGTGCTCCAATGGAATTACATCAAAAGAGGTAATTTAATAACAAGAGGAACAGCAACAAACCAGAAAGCTTGCCCAAGGCAGAAATAGTGCTCAAAAGGAGGAATTCCCCACATGCCTTTTAGAATTGCAACATCAGCTGAGGTCTCCCCATGACCTGCATAAAATGAGCAAACCAAGCCATACAGTAATAATAAATACCAATAACGAAATAGAATATTTACAGACTGATACCAAAAGAGCCTATCACGAGAAGCTATCCCCTTTGGCAACAAATGCAGAGCCTGATTGCTGTAACTGCGAGCTATCACGCTCCAAGCACAGTATCACACTGACACTGCAGCACAGCTTCAGCCCCATTCTGTGTATTTTAAACACCCTCTTACCTTCAGTCTGTCCAGCCAACCCCCAACTGAAGGGAGTCTGGATCTCTGGGAACAAGAAAGGACGAAGACATGCAACAAAAGTGATAGCAGACTATGGAATTCTACCTTTTTTTTCCCTGCAGCCTATGCAAAAATATGATGCTATTTCTACAGAAAAAAAAAAAAAAAAAAAGCACAGCATATTTGTTACACAGATAAAACCAATTCCATCCAAAACTGGCCTTACCATGAGTAACTCAGACCTGGGGAGCACTGCCAGAGCCAGAGCACACAATAGCAAGCATTTACTACAGCGGGGAAAGGAACGTGAGTCACAAAGCGCTCAGCATGTGTTCCGCAGTATTTCCCACATGCCAAATAATAAAGGCCTATGATTTCAATGCTGAGCTTGAAAATAACACTACCATCTTCTAAGCCTGCTGTTGAAAGATTTGGCTATTACAATTTTCTCTTGCAACTCATTAAAACTATGGTGTTAAATATTTTGCTAAAGCAATACTATAACAAAGGACCTGGTGTTGAAGCACAAATACTTAGAGCAACATGCTCATCCAACCCGAGGGAAACCAAAGGTGAAAGCTATGGAAAAGGAGCTCCACATCTTCCTCAGGATAAACGTGTCATTATAATCCCTGAAGGCAAATCTCAAGGCAGGCAGCTCATTGCATCAAGAAAGACCAAAGCTTTACGGCTTTCTCCTGAGCCACTGCATCCATCCAGCTCCTGCCACCCTCATCTGCTCCTCACGCAGACATCCCGCAGGCTTCCTCCAGACCCCACAAGCCATTAGCACAGGGACTGCACACAGGGACATGTTGAACTTCAGCCCACCTAGCACAGCAGCAAACACTGAAGCAAAGACTTCCTGCCTAAACCAAGAACACAGGGAAGACCACCAGCATCTGGAGGTCTCTTGCCAAGTCCCTCCTACACTTCTATCATCCTTGACACGTACATCACAAACACTTCCCAATCTTCCATCAATGTGCTGTGGCTCAGGACCCTGGAGCTGTCCTGTAAGCAGCTCTGGTGACACTGAGGAGACCCTTCTACCCCATGGGGCTCCCTGGGGACTGGCTGCCAACCCAGCTAGATGGGGTCTTAAAAAGCTAATGCTCGTGCCATGACAGCTTGTGCGGCAGCCAAACAGCTGGGCTGACCTCATAGAAGTTGAAGTCCATCCAAGGACCACTGACAACCCACCCCAAGGAGGCGATAGCGTTGCGATTAAGGTGGGACCCAGGTTCCTCAAGGAAATAAAGAGCTATGGAGACACAAGACACGTCTTCATCCCATGCCTTACCTTCACTGAAGACAAAATCCGCAGTGATGTCAAAGGGCTGGATGCGGACTTCAGACAACAAGAGCTGCACAGACTTCTGGTGATCACTGGAGATGAGGGAGATTGTCTGCTGTGCCTGGCACTCATAGGACTTCCCCGCTGGGGTGACCAAGGCAGAGAGCCGATGGGAACTGGCTGTGTGCTTCCCAGCTGCCAAAGAGCAGAAAGAGCCAAGGTCAAGCCCTGCCTCTGGAGGAACCAGTGTGACTTTATTATAACAAAGCTAATACACTGAACACTGGGTATGCCACATGGTGGCTGAACGCTTCAGTGCTCTCAAAGCAGCATTTCTCCTGGGACAGCACCATGCAGTCTGCACGACTCCCCCATGCAGCTGGGACAATACCCACTCTGCAGCCACCTGGTCACAACTGCTTCCACAGGACTTGAAGTCCATAAAGCCATAGGTAGGGTGGGTATTGATGCCCATGCAGGCAACAGCTTCAGACTGTACTCATGCTCCCTGTGTTTGAGAAAGAGCAATTCCAGCAGCTGTAATTCAACCCTGAATTCAGGTGGAATCAGCAATGCAGTTTGAGGGTCTTACTGCAGAGCAACATAGGCCATAACATCCTTCCCAAAAACAAAGGTGGTTATTTCACCAAAGTATAAATTACAAGAGAATAGTTTCTTATTATTTCAAGCATGTTTCACAAAGGAAAGTGGAAAGCAGCTCAGCAAGGTGGAATAAGGGAAGCCTCCCACTTTTCTGCAGCCCTTTGTTCCCCTCCAGCAGCAAAGAAAGGCAGCAAGTGTTTTGAATCCGCAGAGGGTGCTGAGCCACTGTCACCACCATATTCTGGGGACACAACCAGTAAGGGGGGGGAAAAAAAAAAACAACTGGGAAATACAGCTCGACAACCAGCAAGTCTCATGCCATAAACTCATCATGCACAGGGCACTGGAGTTTGAAAGCCTTGCTGAAGAAAAAATAATCACAAAGGACAATATTATAATTTTCAGTGCAAGATGACTCATTTCTGAACAGAAGAAAGATAAAACTCAAACGAAAGCCAAAAGAAAGGAAACCCACTGAGGGATGACTCGACCGCTGTCAGGTGTGGATGCGCTAAGAACATCGACGTCCCTTTCATCACTATCAGGAGGAAACCGCTGCTTTTCCCACCTACTCAACAGCCATCAGGACGGATTTAAAAAGTAGCCTCACAGGCTGCTGCGGGAGCCAAGCACCGCCAGGACGGAGGCAGAGCCGGAGCCGCTGTCCCCGCACTCCCGGACGCCGCGGGAGGGCTGTGGGCAGAGCTACAGCTCGGCTCTCCCTTCCGCCGCACCCGCGGGCGATTATAAACGCAAATACAAAATAAAAAAAGGGAAAAATGAATACGGGGTTCAGAAGCGGCACCCGGTCGCGAGTTGTCGGGCGGGTGCGCTCCCACCCCACCTCCCTCCCCTCCCGCCCCCACGCTACCGGTCCCCAGATGCGCTTTGCAGCGCTGTGCTCTGGGCGCTTACGGCTGACGGCATCCTTGAAGTAGGTGCGCTCCGAGGTGTCATAGGCGAACTGGATCCGGCTGAGCCTCCAGAAAGCCTCCGGCCCGCGGGACGTGTTGTGCCCCTCCTGCGGGGACAGGGTTGGTCAGGGCCCCGCAACGCGGCCGCACACCTCCCGCACCTGCGGGGACAGTCCCGTACCTTCAAGAAGAAGAGTTTGAGGGTGTACGCCCGCTCCAACCACGAGATCTCCAGCTCCGACTCGTTGGTGCCGCACTTGCCCTTCATCTCGGCGCCCCGCGACAGCGGGATGTCGGCTTGCTCCGTGATCAGCTGCCAATGGGGAGCGGGGCTCAGACGGGTGACCCCGCGGCCGCCCCGCCGCCCACCCGAACCGCTCCCTCGGCCCCACTCACATCCACGTAGTTGCTTGCCCACACGTCGTAAGGGACGATGAACTTGGCGGCGAATTCCGCCATGAGGCACGTCGTCCTGTTCTCCCGCACCACAAAGATATCCTTTTCGGGGTTAGGGGATAGCCCGGAGAGGTTTTCAACTTCTTGCTCGGCAGCCAGACGAGCCACGGAGTCTGCGGGTACAGAGGAGCTGAGCGGCAGCCCCCACGACCCGACTGCCCTGTCGAGACGGAGCGGGCGCTGGAGCGGCCGGTGGCGGTGAAGCAGGACCGGGGCTAAGCGGCACCGGAACTGTTTCAGCGCCGGCTGCATCGTGACATGGCTCCGGGTCGCGACGGAGGGTCGAGTGGGGTATCGTGGTACTCACGCAAGAGCAAGAGCAGCCCCGGGAGGCGCCGCGCGGCCATCCTCCCTGTTCGGCCCGGCGTGCCCGCGGCGGCGGCTGCTCCGAGTGGGTCCGCTCCGGAGGAGAAGAAGAAAAAAACAAAGGGAAAAGCAATTCGTAAAAAGCTCCAGCCCCTCCTATCCGAGGAGCCGCACAAGCTGCTAAAGCGCTCCGACGCGGAGTGCCGGGGAGGAGGGATGGGGAAGAGTGTGTGGGTGTGCGGGGAGGGGGAGGACGGGAGGAGGGGAGATGCCGGCGGTGATGGAGGTGCCAACGCTGAGGGACGGGGCGGTGCGGGGAGCGGAGCCGGGCTTCCCCTGGGCGGCGCTCGGCGGAGGGGCTCGCGGGGATCCCCGCGGGGATGCCGGCAGAAAGCGGGGACCTCGGGCAGGCAGCCGGGGGCTGCCCGACAGGCGGTCGGAGCGGGGCTGAACGCGGCCGGAGCTGCCGTTCGCGGGATGCGAGCAGCTAAACCGGCACGGCGGCCGTCCTCCGCGGATGGAGGAAGGGTTATATAGTCCAGGCTGCTCACGGACCGGCAATAATTTCATCGAAGGCGAGCAGCTGCTTAGCGTGTTAATTTAGAACGAAACGGGCAGCTATTTTTGTACGGCAGTGTCAGGAACGAGGCCGGCACCCTTTTGTAGAGGGCCGGGGGCACACCTGAAATCTCGGGCCAGCGCTCACCGGCAGCACCCACACCGCCGGGGAGGCGTGTTAGGGCTAGAGGCAAAGGGGCATTTCGGGCACGCTTCGGCACCGAGCAATGGGTATGCAGGCAACAGCGCTGCGGCCGCCCCGGGCTGGACAAGCCGCCTATTCCCAACAACGGTTCCTTCTTCTACCCCAGCTCGACTGCGCGACCGGCGCTCCTGGCGGAGCTGCCCGCAGCGCGGCCTTTCCAGCCGCCCTTTTCGCCTTCCCCGTACCGCTAAGCGATATGGAAATACGAGTTTTCTGCCTCACACAGGGAGTGCTACAGCGTGATGCCACCCTCGATCACAAAGCTATGAAGAGAAGGGCGCGCCCCACTCCTTACAAGCCAGAAGAGTCACGATCAGCTATTAATGAACCGGGACCTACGAAGGATCCTTTTCCCTCCATAAAAAGAAGGGGCAGCAGCTACTTGGAGTGCGTGGCCTTACACAGATTCACTAGTAATTCATTTTTCTAGTTCAGAAAAAGGAGTCTGGAAGAAGCACTCCCAAGCTGTGCGTGAGGAGGTGTGCTGAGGTGAGTTCTGGCTGCAGGCTGCTGGTTCTGGGAAGCTGCCCTTTCTTTGCCCGAGGATAACTGCAAAGAGGGATTGAGAGGGGTTTTCCTACTGAGAACTAGCTCTTCAAAAATAAAAAGTTGCTGGAAAAACACATTGATTGATTGCAACTATTTCATTGAACTCCTTTCCCACATGCTACATTCTAAATATTGTTATTTTCTATATGTTTTGTTTAGCAATAAAGAATTATTCCTACCCCTCCTAATAGTCAGAACAGTTGTAGTAAACTATTTAGAGGAAAAAAAAAACAAAAAAAAAAACCTCTTACCTTCTCCAGGTGATCTTCTGAGCACATCAGACTGTATTTCTCTTAAGAGCTTAATGCCATGCCTTTTCAGGTCTTTCACTGAAGACTGCAGCATTTAACTAGCCTCCACTCCGTTCTCTAACCTCTTACTCAGTTTTAAATATTCCTGAAGTAGCTTTTAAGCCTCCAAATGATTGTATGATGCTGAGCAGCTGTCCCTCAACCCAGGAGGGCACTCAGAGAGTTGTTGAACGAGAGCAGCTGTGCCAGGGGCAGGGCAAGCCTGACCCACAGCCCTGAGTCCAGAACAAAAACTTCCATGGCTTCAGCAGCACCCCCACTTCCAGCCTGCAGAGCAGTGTTCATGTGGCCTTCCGTAGCAAAAAAAAGAGCCAAGCAGCTCTGGGATGTGCTGCCCACTGCCAGCCCGTTCCTCAGGCAGCCTGCAAAAAAATCAGCCCATGAGGAATATTTTGTGGTTTGAAGAGTGCACTTGGACTGCACTCAAGTGGGATGGGTGGGGGGCTGTTAACTCACCTGTATTTGAACACAGGTGAGTCAATGACTAGCTCCCAGTTTAGTGGGAATGGAAAAACCCTGTGCAGCCAAGGTGGTGTGACCTTCCCTCTCACAGCTGCACCAAATTTGTCCGAAGAAATCAAGTCAAGGAGAGTCTATCTTTTCCTTAGATGTAATTTTAGTGAAGTAGGATCCATTACTACAGTGGAGAGTGATATTTTAAATTGCTTTAACTCGGTATCAACGTTCAAATTGATTAGCCTATTTCATCTCAATAGAAATTCTCACCTCATTACATTAGCAGCCAAACTTCAAATAATTTTTGAATCAAATACTACTTAAGCAGTATTTCAAAATACTTAGCTGATGGAATTCATCACTTAATTTCAAATTACTGTCTGCATTTTATGCTAAATTGTCAGTGGATGAAATAAGTGATGGCTATGGGAGCTGAGCCCGGATCAGAGGCTAACCCAGCTCTGCAGTTTCACAGCAACACATTTTCTCTCAGACTCAATCAATGCCTCGCTCCTGGCTGAACAGCAACCACAGACTCAAACGGAGGCTGTGGACAGCCTTTTCTTCTCCTCCTAAAACAGCTGATTCCAGGATGTATGTGATACTTGTTAGAGAATTATGACAGAGAGACTTGATTTGATTTGAAATGGGAAAGTGGACTGAAGCCAGGTCCTCTGTTTCCAGTTAATTCTTTAACGAAGTGCAGAGGTATGCAGTTAGGTTGGTAACTGAGCCTAGGAACACCAGCAATATTCAGTGCTTTGCCATTTCATTTTCTCTGTACTTGGTTTGTCGTTTCATTCTCCTAATTGGCTAGAAACCATTGTAGTAGGCACCAATACTAAATTCTAGCTCACAGCACTGCCTTCACCAGCTGTATTTTAGAAGATGTTTTTAATTAAGAAATAATAAAAATCACTGCCTTTTTTGAGCTGCCGAAATTTGTCCAGCATGCTCTGAAAATCCTCCCAGCTCCCTTCAGCACTTGAAAAGAGGACCAGCCATGCTCAGAGGCAGCAGGGATAGCTGCTCCCAGCGCAGCCGTTCTGTGTGCCCACACACAACTAAAACACCATGGATCATAAAGAGCTGGAGGTGCATCCATCGGTGATGTGCATCAAAATGGGAATTTTAAATGAGCATCACAGCTTTGTTTACATCCTACCTTAAACACCTAAATACTTCACTGACCTCTCTCTCAGCTGTATTCTCGGGGTAGTGCTGCTACACTGTACTCAAGCTGTTCTGAGGTGCTGCAAAGACCAACGCTGCACAGCTCTTCTATCACTTAAAAGAAAAAAAGACTCATTTCAATAAATAAACTATGATATAAATATATTTACACTATGCACATTACAGGAAATACATCATATTAAAAAGTCATAGGGAACAATAACACCATCCCTGAAATCCACTGTTGGTCACAAATAGAGGTTTTGAATTTTAAGATTTTATTAGAGAAGTTGAACGTTTCATCTCAGGACTGACAATAACATAATTATCTCTTTTCATTTATTTTGTCTATAGGAATATGTAGAATTCATTTGTACAGGCATATACAACAAATTAGGTGGTGCTTAGTACATTGAAATCAGGAATCTGATTTGTTCTAAACTACCATTTTTCCATGCAGTCATCTTCGAACTGGCAGCATGGAGAAGTTCCAAGCAGAATGCTTACATGCATTGTTTTGCAATAACTACAGCAAGCTTTGGAAACATGCAAATTAACACATTAGCAAATTGTTTTTGTATTTAATGGACATAAAAAGATTATTCCTGATATGAAATTCTGAAAATCTGCATAAATACTTTTGTGTAAAATTAAATTAGTTATGTACTTTTCTTTTGCTAGAAGTATCAAGAATGCCCATGTAATTAATATACACACATACATAGAGAGACCTTTTTATGCTAAAAGTCTTTGTATTTAATCAAACAAGATTCTGTGCCATACATTTATTCAGTATTTACCAGCTAGTAGAATGACTGTGGTCACAGAGTAGGCATTACAGTCTTATTAGCGTTTGTATCACATGCAAACGTACTCTTAGCATTTCTGCTTACTAGTTTTATCACGTGGCAACACGTATGTGGTTTTTTTCCTACAATGTCATGGTTCTGAAGTGTATAAATACTTTTTACATTTTCACAGTTACAAACTTCTTGCAAAAGCCATTAAAACAATCTTTAAGTTACAATGAACTGTAATATCTGGGATCTGCAGCAACAGGATCAAAACGCAATTTCTGTACAAGCAACATACGATGTAAACTTTTCTTAAAGTGCCTAAAAACAACCCCTTGGAGCACTGAGCAATTTTGGCACAAATACACTGTATTTCCTTCATGCTAACCGTTGCAGTAACTTACATAGGATATGTCTTCTTTCAGACATGACAGGGTTGATATGGCACTTGTGAATGACGTCACAGGATAGCAGAAATATCCCGTGAAGTTACTGTTACAGTTGGTAAATCTGATGGATGGCTTAGTACATACTGTACTTCAAAGCTATACAATTTTCAATTGCTTACTGCCTGCTGCCTGAAAAATACTTCGAAATACAACTAAGAATTGCCCAGACTCTACTCATTAGAGTGACTGGGACCAATGTTATTACAGTGACCTAGAAAAAAGATCCAGCTGAATGGGCTTGATGACATCTGACAAGTCACTTGTTGGTATGTGGCAGCATGAGGTTTCTACATCATATAGCACACATGGGAACACAAATGGTAAATAACAACTTGACTGTAACTTTTTTGCCATATGAGATAATGTTAAAAATATCTATTGTGTTTCAATGCTCCAATTGTGTAATTCTGATGCAGACAACCTGCCTGCTGAAATACCAAAAGGAATATAGGACGGGGTTTACAAACTCTTCATCTTCTGATTAGTGTTTTTCTGAACAAAGGAAACTCTAATCATGGACATCCAACAATGGAAATTCAGTGCCCAGTGTTAAAACAAAACAATGCAAACTTAAAACTCTGTGGTCCATAGCTATACTTTCTATATTAAAAAATAAAATAAAATAAAAGCTGACTTTTCTACCTCTGCAATAACATTTTGAATTTTGCTCTCATTTCAAGGATGCTATGTTCTCCAACTTCAATTTGCATGTTGAGGCTTTAGACCACTGTTGCTGGCCTGCGATCCATCTCTGCTTCCAGCTTCACCATCTGCTGCATCTCCTTTGCCTGTATTCCAAAATAACCGCAGGAATCACTGCATTAGACCTTGTGTTCAGATTGAAGTCTGTTTTTTTTTGTTTTTTTTTTGGTATGTTTGTTTGTTTTTGTGTTTTTAATATGATAGCATCTAAGTGAAATACAGGCTAAACACACTAAATATATGAGTAATAACATTATGTGTCTTCCCCCTCCCACCAAGCCATTATGTTTCCAAAATCAGATGTCTGCTAATTAATGGAAAACATTTTTGATTTTATTCCAAAATGCATGGGTTGACTTTCTGAAGAAATACACAGTAAAACACAAAAGCATCAATTTTTGGGGGAGGAGGGGATGAGGGGTGTTACTAGGCACATGCTGATTGAACTGTTTCTCCTGAACAGAAATATATTTGGGAATGTCTGCACAAACACTGCTGTGTGAGTACTGCCGTGAGCTTACTTCCTGAAATATCCAGACTTAATCCATGATCTGGGACTAAATTATTTCCTTAAAGACAACAAATGATCAAAATAAGTCAGTGTAACATCCTCCTTGCAATATGCAAGATAATGCTTGTTTTTGCTTTTTTTTTTTAATAATCTTTATCTGGCCTTGAGAGCTTACTCGTTTTTTACTATTACAGACAAGGACTTTTCCAACTCAAGATTAGACTACTGCTACATGCCCTACATGGGATTACACACATTGAATCCACATGAAATTGCACCCAGTTGCACTCTGAGGAATCCAGCAATGAATCCAGCAACAAACTCTGCATGCCTCAGGCTTTGCAAGCAGGTTAAAGCACTGTGTACAAATGGTATTTGGCCTGGGAATCCTCTGCTTAGAAGGAGCTTGTAACATTTTCTTTCTCTCTCTCACACACACACACTCATACACACTCATCCCTCCTGCAGCTCCTTGTAGATTGCATATAGTGCTTTAGTATGAAATTCCATGGTTTGAAAGATCCAGGGAGTCCCCACCTCTTCATTTTCAGTGACAGCTCTCAATTTGGGAACATATTTAAATCCATAATTCAAAGGACTCTGAATAATTTGACCCAGAGGGCAAGTTATCTTCACAACCAAGTTTCTGAGGGTTAGGGCAGGTTTAGGAAGAGGAAGACCAAACAAATCTTTTCTCTCCAACTGCTTTGTATCTCTTAGGCAGGTTACTGGATTTTATTTAAGTCAACTGTCACAGAAAAACTTGTAAATGTTGCTTTGACAGGGAAATTTGATATACAAGTTCCCGCTCAAGTAGTCACCTACTCTGGATGAACACAGACATTTGCATATGTGAAAATGAGCAGATGCAGATCTAAAGTAATGAGATGCATAGCCATTCATTCATCTGGCAAGGTAAATGTGTGCTTGTGCAGATGTGCTTTCTTGAACAATCTAGCCTTGTACTTTCATAATCATCACCATCATCTTGGGGAAAAAAAGTAATTATGATAATAGCAAAGAAACTGTCATAAATATGATTAAAAATTAATCAATGCTCTCCATTTAAATGAGTCAAAAGCTTGAAAGTAATGAAGAAATAATTTTAACATGGAGATGTGAAAACATAATAAATAAACCAATACGTACAACCTCTTCTGAAATGTTGGCTGTTTTTGCCCGTGTATGAAGTGCAATTCCAGCTAAAACAAAACTCTGTTTTTTCCTTAGTGACTCACACATTTTACGTTTTAGGCTTGTGACTTAACTGTCAGCACATCGTGTCCTATAAATATTCCACATGCCACTGTACGGTGTACAGAATTTTTTTAGAGATAACTTGGTTTCAAGGAACACATTAGCATAGGATCATGATGCCCGTTTTTGCTAGTTTGAGGTCAGTTCTGATGGTGCATCCTGAGGCGCACACACAAACACAACACAGTGAATTTTTGGGAGGCAGTGTTAAAGCTCCGTGAATACATGAAGTTAACTGCTTGAAAGGTTCTTGCTCTCCAGTGAGATCTAAGGCAGGCTAAGAACCACATTTATTAAAATAAAAATATATTCTGCTAGCCTGATGAATGCTTTTTCCTTCATTAGATGTCTGAAAACGAATGTTGGAAAAGTGAGTGCTGTCACACTCAGTGACAAAATATACAACTGTGTTATTAGCTGAAGAAAATAATTCAGATCAAGCAATACTGTAAAACTGGATATTCAAGCTTAGTACACCTATCTCCCTTGGTATGACAAGGGTTAATCGAGATTTCTTGTGAGTAGTCATTATTTAGAACACTACAGCAGCATAGCCACACAGAATAATTACTGTACTTTGTAATGCACTGGATTTTAAAGTGACTTTTAAAGTGCTGGAAGTCTTTTCTTCAGACACTAACAAGCTACTTCTACTGATCTATTCTATCCTTTGCTATCTTTAGCGTACAATTTCTTATTTTATCATTATATTAATATATGTGAGTACTGTCAATCAAAGTTAGCAGTTAATCAAAGGTATGTTAACACTACAGTAGTTTAACTTAGATCAATAGACACTTTGGAATACAATCTATAAAATCTGAACATATCTTCCAGTAACAATAGTATTGCATAATACAAGTTAATTTCTAAATATTTCTTATCTACATTGCTATTTATATGCATCTGAATTGGAGGGGCTAAAGCAGAAAATACTGTTAATATTGTTTCAGGCTCAAATACCTGTGTGCAAACAAGATTAACACTGTGTTTACTATGTCAAAGGTACTTCCCAGTGGTTGCATTTACAAGGAAGGCTCCAACGATAATGACTGAATTTAGAAGGAAAGCATACTGAAATAATAGTTTGCTTATTATACATCCATCCTACCTTGTGTTTGAGACACTGCATGACAGGATTTCAAAAGCTGTTTGTACAAAAATAATAATGTCAAAATCGAGTAATACAACAAGAAGCAAATTAAATGAATGAAAACTGAAGTGAGACTAAAAAATTAATGCAAGAAAAACATACATAAAACAAAAATTTAAATCCGTAACAGTTTGTACTGAAGGCTGTTTCCACCCATAATTCTACTTACCTGCATTGTATATTTGCATGAAAAATGTCTTCATTTGTTTGATCAGGAAAAAAGCCCAACACTTCAAAAT